TGAACAAAGCTCTCCTATTTGGGGAGTTCTTGCCGCGTCCCGACGAGACGCGATAATTCGATCCCCGAGAGATCGATTTCTACCCGCCGATTCAGGCGGGTAGTGTAGACCTAGCCTAAGACAACGTGGTTTTGCATGACTGGGTTAATAGCCATCATTATTTTATGATTATTAGATAAGAGAGGAACTGATTGTGCCCTTAGTATCCATGCACAGAGTAGAAATCTCAGGCAGAAAGTGTGATGGAATCAGTTGCCTCTGGAACAGCATTGCTCATCTTTCTCCAAACTCAGCAGAAGGCTCTCTGTGAGTCTGGCAATTTGGTGGTGGGTGGAGAGGGATTGGGGTCTGGAGGAGAGTGCATGAGGCTTGTGACTTGGCAGAGCTTCTCTCCAGCTTGCAAGTATTCACTGTCACACTCAGTCTCCTTTAAGTGGGTTTATTATCTATACAAAACCAACCAACCAAACAAAACCACTCCCTGAGCTTAGCCTTTGTCCTAGGGTTTCACAGCTTTCCCTCCCGGGGGTCTTAGGTAACCCTGCTTCCTGCAGCTTCCCAGTCCTGGCCAGCTTCCTTATTCAGTCAGCTCTGTTACTCTTCTGCGACAGCAGCTCCAAGGCTTCCTGGGCACCTGGCCCCTTGCTCCCAGGACCCCACCACAGGAGTTGGTTCTGCTTCTAGCCCTAGACACAGCCTAGCCTAGCCTACCCTATCCCACCCATCTCTCCCCTTCTTCTTGTCCTCTGACAGTATTTTGTTGCCCCAGGTATAGCCCTGTCCCCTTTAATTGGCCTCAATGGCCCACCTGCTCTCACACTGGGAGCTGGGCCTGCTATTCACAGGGACCAGCTATCCTGTGACAGGGCTGGAGTAGAGAAGGAAGGGTAATTTAGAAGCTAGACCCTACATTTCTGTCTTGGGAGAAGGAAGTGTATTGTTGGAAACCTCACCCCCCTCACTGCTTATCAAAAGATTGGAAACTCCATGAGGGGAACATCATAGTGTTTGCTGTCCCTTATGCTGGTATTCCTGAGCAGGAGTACCGTCTGCACCTATGTTTTTAGTCATAGCCACAAGCTAAAGCAGTTCTCAAAGTCTCTAAAATACAAATGTTCTTAACATTTTGTAGGTTTTGGTGCCACCGTGTGGCCATTTTATATATCATATGTCTGTATGTTTTTCATTTTGGTGTACTTTAATGTTTATTGGGCTGTGGTGGTTTTTATCTCTCCTGATAGTGAATGGGGTAAATCCAGAGCAACTCCATCAAAGTGAATATAGTGATTTTGGATTTGCTTCAGTGTTTACTCTGGATCAGAATTAGTGAGAACAGAATTTGGTCCAAAATCTTTTAACATTATAGCACAAGCGGGTGTCATTCATGCTTCCCCCTGAAGTATGGGACAAATTTCTCTGTGTTCTCTTCCAATGTCTTATAGGCCTGCCTTGCAACATATGTAATATTCTAGCCCTGAACAGGTACAGCAAAATGTGCCAAATTATGTAGTGATTTTGTGAAGCATAGCAATATTGTGGAGAAACTATAAATTTAGCTGTTTGGCACTAATGAGCTAAATCAGATTTATGTCCATATCTTCAGACTTGAAAGATTGTTACATTATCCCATTGTACTATAGTCCACCCCTTCTCAAGTCATTCTTTTTTTATTAAAAAAATCATCTATCATCTCTTTTTAAAACTTCAGTTTTCTTTATGTCAGACTTTTTTATTTCAATGGCTGATTATTCTCTTTTAAATGTAAAGCAACAACTAAGAAAATTCTGAGATATTTGGGGCTTTTGCCCTGAGCATCAACAGAGTAGTGAAGGGATTAATAGTTCCTGATAATGAAAATTTGCTTAAATGTTGATCTTCATGTAATATTCTTGTTATGATGACATTTTTCTGATGTATGTTCCTTGACTATAATCTACATTGTTCAGCATGCTTATTATGTGCACTATTTTGACCAACTGTGTATTTATGACCATGAGTAACCCTCCGGAGTGGACAAAGAATGTAGAGTAAGTTAAATGCATTTTCTTTAAATATATTCACAAATCTGATATTAGCTTCTGTAAGTGATCTTATGTTATTTATGATCATATGAATTGACCACAACTAGTCTGTGACATTGTTGCTTGTTTCCTCTGTCTCTTGTGACTCTAACTTAAGACCGTAAATGACCTCCCTTCTAACAGGTTGTTTGTAACTTCCATTCTCTACATGGGAGCGGAAAGCTGCTTGTAGTGCCATACAGGATCTGTATATCAATCTTTTTATACACATATTTCTCATTAATTTCAGTGGAGTTATGTATATGTAATGATGGCAGGAATCAGCCCCTTCTCTGCATATTGTGGGTTATTGATATTTTTCATTGTGTGATAAACACGTCAATAGAGAGATTATCTCATGGACCGCCGTGCCTCCAGTTCACAATTGGGCAGACCTCCCTTCCATGGGCAAACAAATAACATCCCTGTGTAGGGTAACCAGATGTCCCGACTGTATAGGGACAGTCCCAATATTTGGGGTTTTGTCTTTTTGGGTGACTATTACTCCTACCCCTATCCTGATTTTTCACACTTGCTGTCTGGTCACCCTATCCCGGTGACAACTAAGGCATCTGCTTGTATGAAAAAGTAATAGTGGGAGAATACTTCATGGATTTATAGTTCTTTTCATTTGATTTAACAGCTGGAAAATAGGAGGAGGCAATCCAGCACTTTGTGAACAACCAGCTCTCTACAGATCACTGGCAGGTGCTCTGTGGATGACTGGTACAGTGTACACCACAGTTTGGGAACTACTGCTCTCCATGCTGCTTCTGGTATTTGAAGAACATTAGCTTCATTGTTCTCTTTGATAAAGGAAAATCTTGCATAGTCCTCAAATGCTGAATGACCACACTATTATATTACTTACTTTTTTGAATGATATCCACCTGGTTAGTTCAATCCTGGCACTATTGAAATCAATGGCAAAATTCCCATCAACTCCAATAGGCCAGGTTTTCTTTCAAGATGTTTTAACATGTAGTAACTAGAGATAAGCATGGAAGCAGACTCTGTTTTAATTCCTACAGGCTCTGAGCAGGCCTGATGCTACCAAGGGTTCTCACAGAACCTTCAGGGGTAGAGGGCAAGTCACAGTGTATGAACTGCACCCATGGAACTTATTCTATACTTATTGTGGCTTTGGCAGTGGGGAAAATCTGGCGGAATATGGTCAGTGCCAACCCTCCCCCCAACCGGGGATCTGTATTTCAGCGGAATCCCCGTGGTTGGCCTTCTATGATATTTGGGAGCAAGAAGAGAGCATGTCACAAAGTTGGCTTTCTCTCTCCAATACCTTCAAAGCTAAATCTTCATTCTTTGGCTGCCCTTTGCTCAGGGAAGGAAATGAAAGCTAGGAGCTGTTGGCTATTTTTGAGTTGCCTGAGTAAAAAAAGGTGTGGTAATAAATTCTTTGCGGTCGAAGAAAAAGTTTTTTTAAATAAACTCATAAAAAGTTAAATGGATTTTTATCAACTTTTCCAAAATACTCAATTTTGGGCAGAAACCAAAGGCTTGATCCTGTGACATGCTAAGCCTCTCTTGCAAATGCAGAGTTGTATAATATATTTTAATATTCAGATTTCGATTCCTTTTTTCTCAGACAAATAATTCTGCAGATGTTTAAAGTTAGTTAAATCCTCTATTCAATCCTTAAGCCATTTAAAAGAAGAAAATAAATCAAATAAAATAACTATAAAAAGTAATACATATAGAAATGTTATGTCATTAATATTTGTCTCTATTAATTTTTGCTTGGATATTTTCCTCAGATACACATTCACTGGAATTTATACCTTTGAATCACTTGTAAAAATTCTTGCAAGGGGCTTCTGTTTAGAAGATTTTACTTTTCTTCGAGACCCATGGAATTGGCTAGATTTCACTGTCATTACATTCGCGTAAGTCTTTTAACAATTTTTAACGTTTATGAGGGTATGAAATTAGTGGCTACAAATTACATCATATTTTGGAATGCAGAACATTTGGAGCATGGATTTCCTGTTGTTTCAAAATGATTTTACCTGTTTTGCGTATTTTAATATTTCAAAATTAAACATACTGCAGAAGCCAGAATGGTGTGTCAGCCACTAATATTGTGACTAATATTGGATTATACTCTCAAGAGAAGCTAATTTCATATCCTGTCTTCTTTCTGTTTACCAGAATGGAAGTGATCCCTTTGACTTCATGCCACAAAGTTACCAAATTAGGTGTTCAAAATTAAAATCAGTGTGGTTTACTTCAGTGACATTTAAGTTTAATTTGATGGTCAGGAAAGCATATTAATAATACAAGGCAAAATACAGTGAAAGGTGAAGAGGTCTTGATGAAAGACCCAAGTAAGTAGCATAAAATCTGCCTA